TTCAAGATCATCAGGTGCTACTATCGACTCTCCGCATCAGAAAATGGGCATGCCGTGCCGTCCTTGCCGATTTCCACGCATTCTTCGCGCGGAATCGTCTCGTTCTGACAGGCATACTCCTGGAACGAGGGAACATGAGGACACCAAGAAACAAGCTAAAGAACGACTGCAAAACACCGAACCGATACAGATGCCAAGCATTGAAATGAGACTGGGGGGGGAAGGGATGTGCAGAGGGTTGTTCACCCTGAGGCCCGGGCACACTGGTTAAACTGGACGCTCTGGTTCTGCTCGTACTCCTTGCACCAGGCGTAGGCTGCGAAGTAGTCCTCGCAGACAACACGACGAGACATGTGGGAGGTGCCTGTGTCCTCACTATCACTACCCTGAGTCCAACTCCCAGGTTATCTCTTTTGTTTTAGGGAGTTGTTGCAGACAATCAACAGTCCAACACAGCACATGTGCACGTAACTTGCGCCAGGTCTTGCGACCCCACCTGTTCAGTATCCCTTCAGCATCCCTTTGCAGCATCCCTTTCAGCCTCCCCCCTTGTTCCGGGCCCGATCCTCGACTTCATCCTTCTGCCAGTTGTCGCCCTGAAGCAGCCTCAGAGCGTCGCGAGCAGGAGAGGTTCCGCGGGAGAGCTTCTTCTATTTCAAGCAGGACTCGCCAGGACTCTGCCAGGATTCTGCCAGTAGTCAAAAAATGATATGCTAAAAATCAATGCGTTAACAAAATATTTGTAATATAGCTATATTCTGGGATACTCAAACGATATATTCACATAAGAGCATAAGAGTGTGTTATTACAATTTGAAAAGACATGCAAGAATACAAGAGCATGATCATATAAGAATATGTCAATAGAACAACCAAAAAACACATTATTATAATGATGTAAGAATACATGAACATGAAAGCGTATTCATATTGAAAATATGAGAACAAAATAATGCAACGGCATAAGAATATCAGGGTATAAGGATATTAGAAAATAAGAATGTAAGAATAGACCATAACGAATGTAAGACTACCAACACAAGAAAATCAGAACATAATTGCATTTACAAAAACTTACACAAATACAACAATATGTGAATATCAAAATGTCAGAATATAAGAGTATACGAATATATTCATGTAAGAATATAGGAATACAAGAATAAAAATGTGATGCTATAGGAATATAAGAAGAAAAGGATACAATCATATAAAACTGTACGGGTATAAGAATTTTGGGATGTAGAAATATAGGAATATGCGAATGTACAAATATACAAATACAAACATGTAAGAACATACGAACATACTAGTATAATAATCATATAGCAATACAACAACATCATGCAATAATGTAATGAAATAAAATAGAATTACCAAACATGAAAAAATACTTTTTATGTAAACAAAAGTTATATACCGAAATAATATAACAATATAACTAACAAACATCAAGACATCATAATGTCATAAAAAACAACCAAAACCATGATTTCATAATATCAGAATATAAAATGTACGAAAATAGAAACAGATGGATATACTAGGATAAGAATAAAAGAAACAGTATAAACATATTGTAATATCAGAATATAGTAGTATAATTGTGTATCAATATAACTAATTATGAACACAACAAAACGGTAATAAGAATAAATGCTGCAAAAATATAATACTAGAATACTATAAGAATACAGTGAAAAAACAACAAATAATTTGCAATAATATAACAAAATAAAATAACAAAACGGAATATAGTCATATAACGATACAACACCATGAGAATAAAACAACACTGATACAACAATATAATATTTTCAATAGGATAATGATGTTAGCAACATTAGCCTCATGATGATCGATAGCCTTATAAGACAAGGGATCCTGTTAAAGCCCCCCAAAAAAAACATTCAAAAGAACAAAACATCAAAACAACAACCCGAAAAGTCGCCGAACAATCGAACAATCCAAGTTTTGCCTTTTTTTCAGAAAATCAAAGCAACATCGATTGGGTCAAGGGGTCCAAGAAAAATCACCAGACAACCAAAAAAACGTCGCCGATAAATCCAATTCTCGGCTGGTCCATTTTCGAAAATCAAACATCGAACTGTCTGAGAAATAACAAAGAGCACCCAGTAATGGCTGTGGCCTCATAGAAAAAAGAACAATGCGAGAACTCGTTCAGACATAAGACCTCGGACCCCTGGGACCACTGGGGCCCAGAGCCCCAGAGTTTTTCTGAGTTATTATGCGTTCTAAGAATTCTGTTTTGATCTCTCCAAAATCGAGCAAAAAGCTTTTTTGATTTCTCAAAAATCGAACAAAAAACCTTTTGATTTCCCAAAATCAGCAAAAGTTAACAAGCACTTTGAACAACTTATCGGCGAATGTTCGGCGATCTTACCGGCGATGTTTTGGCAGACTTGAAGGGACCCTGTCTAATGAGCCATCGATTATCATGATATTAGCGTGTCAATATAACAATATAGCAGGTGCATGCAGGTGCCAAGTCACATGGCCGGAGGGAAGCGTGTTTTGTCGGCAGCCTGGCAGAGGAGAGGCGAGGTGCAATGGCCTCCAAGCTCCCGAAGCAGGGGAGGGCGCACCTTGTACGCTCCCAAGCAAGTCTCATACTCCTTGGAAGCTTCTTCGATCTTTTTCACACCTCGGACGCGGAAGAGACTTGGCATCCCTTCGTGCGCTGCTTAAGAGCTTCAGTTCGATGCATGGATGCAAAATGGGCTCACGCGGCTGTGAAAGAACCGTGAGCAATGATCGGCCGCGGAGCTGCTCTTGTGGGCAGTCACTAGCCGGTTCCTCATCGTGACATTGACGATCTCGAGGATGGTCGAAACTACTGCTGAATTGTTGCTGCCCTGGCCAGCATTGGCAATGGAGGTCAAGACCAAACATGTGTCGGATTCGAGACAAGCGGAACATCGGCTGGACGCCTCTGCACCAGCACCATGCTTCAGCAGATTCGTGAGCGCTCCTGAGAACTCCGACTTGATAGAGGCGTTCAACGTAAACGTTAAGGAGCACCAGTTCATTTCGCTCTTCGGTCTCCTTCTACAGTTCGCATCTGGCTAGAAGAAGATCCGCCTGCCGCAGCCTGGCCAGGGCGGGGGCTGCAATGTTTTCGAAAGTCAGTGGGTCCTGGGAACTTGTTTCCCTTGCATGAGGACTCCCCCACTCCTCTTTCCTCCCCTCCCACTTCCCCCCCCTTCCTCCCTCCGCCCCCCGCCCAGGGGGGCGACAGGGGCAGTGGGGGAGGCGGAGCCAACAAGAACTCCTCCCTCAAAAGCATCTGGGCACCCTCCAACCCTGAACCGACTCAGAATGGTTTAGAGTTCTGTGCGCCTGAACTGCGGCTGGCATGGGCTCTCCAGCCAAACTCTCGATGTTCATCTCGGTTGCAGAGATGCGATAGTGTCAGTGTCTGTAGATCTGGAACATGACGAGTAACCTTGAAACCCAATCAGCTTTCGACAAGGCACACCATGAGGCGACAGCGACTTGCCGGCAGCAAACGGCAGCGCAAGTAGGGCAATGACGCCTCAGCTCGCCCGGATAGGCTTTTTTGATGTTCAGGATGGGGTTTGGTTGATCTGACAGCCCGCTGGGTTCTAAGAACTCCTTGGAGTTGGGTCTGACTCATGTTCTTGGATCCTCGCTGCCCGCACCAAACGAGTGCAGCCAAGCTTCCCTGATACAGCATTGACCTCAAGCGTGGCATGAATGTCATGCTGAGTCATGCTAGTTTCGTCTCTGGAGTTCAACGACTTAGTTCAAGTTTGATTCCTGAGCGCACATGCGGGCAAATGGCAACTTGGTGTACATCCTTGACTGCACTTGTCTTGTTTCTTGGTAGTCGGTTTGTTGGCTTGCTTCTTGCTTCGTTTGGGCTTCTTCCGTGGATGTAGCTCGCGGTATGTCACTCGCGAGAGCTCGCATGGGATCAAGACCACTGGGCCTTTTGGTACCCTGCAGCAGAGGGCCATGAAACTACAAGTAAATTCAGAAAAGAAATGCAAAAAGGCCTAAAACTTGGACTTGAGAAGAGGGCCATGAAAGCTCGACATGGCAGCGCGAGTCCAGCACAACGTGTTCGCAAATTTGAGTGTTTATGTTGAAAGCGCCACCAGAGAAAAACACAGATGCGACAGGTACTGCGAGCAAGATGGAACAGGCAAGGCTGCGGTGAACGATTGCCGCTTGCGCTGTTTAAGGATGTTCAGAAGTTTTACGCAGTTCGGCCTACGGTGCTACCAAAGAAACTCACCGATATGACATGTTCGAGGGGAGCCTTGCTATTCAGTTAACTTAAAATAGAACTGGTAGGGGTAGAGGACTGGGGGCCTCCCCAGGCACTTAACAATCGATGAAACCACCTGGAATGGACCCAGCAAGAAGATCCCTAAACGACAACTACAACAACTCCAAGAGAGGCTTCGTGATCAATGACATTCAATGACCAACCCCTCCCCCTTCCCCATGAATTGCTGTTGAGCCAGGGAGCTTCATTATGGCGTGCTGATGTCTGTCCTGCATACTGTCGGGCTTGTGCAAGTCCACTGCCGTGCTACGCAAGAGAACAAAGAATGAGACTGAGAACCCTATCAGGATCCCTCAAAATAGACTACAGGGAGGGGATCTTACAGGACCCTAAGATTGCCCTGCAATCTCTACAAAGGGGCTCTAAGTTCAGAAGGGGCCCCTGATCGCTGCAAGTGCCACAGCAAGCGCGCTCCTCCCACCCCGTGTCCGCACGAGTCCGGGATGAGGCAGAGCTTGAGCCCGAAAAACCGATTGCAGCTGAAAACCTGCAACCTCCAAAGCCAAGCGACAACACAGGAACGACTTTCATCGCGAACTTGCCCAGAATTTGCCACATACACTACATCACCTCAAGTCCTCAAACCCCCCCTCCAAGTCCACAAATCTCCCCCCGAGAACCACATCATGCCCCGACTCTTTGAAGAAAACAGGTGAGGCCGCACCAGCCAATGGAAGCTGATCAAGGGATCTGCATCCTGCAGCACAGCTGTTTACCCGAGCATAGGGTTTGCGGCGGCCAGAGCCCGAAGAACCGCTCCATGCGTAATCGGAGCCAAGTCTGGAAATCCAAACTTCTTGGGCTCTACCTTCTTCTGTGATCTTCTGTGAGGCTCTGTGCCTCCTCTTCCTTGGGCTCAGCAGCAGAGGGAACCTAAGTGAAACAAAATACAAAGCAGGCAATGAGACGTCTTAATAATCTAGGCTGCTCAAGGGCTAGAAAGGTGCAGGAGATGTCTTTTCACATGTGGTGAAACACGCAGCATGCATGGTCTCTTCGGAACCGCAGCAACCGCTGCAGCATAAGCTATGTATTCCGAGATATTCCGAGACTCGCAGCCGGTGCCCTTCTCGGGTACTCTCGTGACGTGTTGCTTTGCATTTTCCTGGAGAACACCAGCATTCTGCAGACCTGAGAAACGGTGTCCTACGGTGACAGGAGCACACGGCAGTCCCGGGAACGCCAGTGCCCTCAGTCACGTTCCAGGCAGTGCTATCTGCATCATACGCCGCGTCCACATCGCGGCTATGCCGCTCCACACGGCAGTCACGGGGCCCGCGCGGCCTGAAACTAAGGGGCTACTTTCTCACTTTGGCACGAAGATTCAATGAAGCGACAGGCCTGCAAAGAAAGTCCTGTGAAGAACTTCGCCACAGGCTCGTTCTTCCCCCTCTTCCCTCTGCATCACTGGGGCAACACGGCGTGCGCCGTGACTGGACCTAAGAGTCTCCGGTCTAAAGCGCTTGTGCTCCTTTGGAGCTCAAGTGGGCTAGAGATGGCAAACGATCTGCAAGGAGCCGGTCTTATCAGGAAGCCAAACTCTCGGCATGTGGGAACTCTTAACTTTTAAAGATGTATACACGGACATCGCTTCCCGTTGAACAAGCATCTTGCATCGGAAAAACCCTTTTGCGCGCATCCAATTTTCTGGAAGACTGCACAAAATCCTCGCAAGAACAGCTGAGCTCTGTAAATCAATGCCGCAAGCGCTCTTGAAGCCTTGAAGCCTTGAAGCCTCTAAACAGAAACCGTGGCTGCTGTCACTGCTCTTGCCCTATCTACATTCGGATCCTCCTCTCTTGCTACAACCGCAAATCTGGAGTCGGCGTCGTCCTTGTCACCTTGCTGCGCCCAGGTGTCCAATGTGTCCACAAGCCGCTGATGACACTACAACACGATACAACATAGCTGAGTCCTCCCGAGTCCATGCTTCTTCTTGCTCCCGTTTGTCTCTTAAAGGCAAGCGAGGTGCGGCCACTTCCACCACATCCAGGCGCTCCTCCACACCTCACCGCTCATAGATTCATAGATCATATCTGCTCACATGTTGCTGACTCGACTTGCCATGACCGTCTGCGAGGACATGGACTGCCGACGCACGGCTGCTTGCTGGAAGAGCTTTTGCGACGCGCAGCATCCATTACAGGATGCAGACGAACTGTCCTTTGGTTGCAGTCACGGGGCGTTTCATGGCGTTCGACAGCCGCCGCTGGCCGGCATAGATATCATCCAGCCGGGCTAGGAGCAGTGCCATGTTGGATGTGCCTCCACAAAACACCAACATGGCTGGATGCAAGACAAGCATAGCTCTCAAAACGGTTGAACCGGTCCAGCATTTGGAAAGTTCACAAAAACCCAGCTTTTTATTCCTTTGATTCCCCGCCCATCCAGCCTGCACTGTTATCCGACGACTGACTTGTCTCAGAAAAGGTTGATTTCTTGTCTTCAACCTCAAGGTCTTGCTGCAATCCGACTCGGCCCTTCTAGGGTCGAACAATGAATGTCGATGATAGCAAGTCTTTCCAGACGAGAGTAAGGCAACAGCCGGCAACATCTTTACCGTCACCTCGAGGGCTTCTCCGCAAGCTTCTCAGCAGTTTTACTTATGAATGTATTTATGATTATATAAAGCACAATTATTTACACAATACAATACAATACAATACAATACAATACAATACAATACAATACAATACAATACAATACAATACAATACAATACAATACAATACAAATACAATACAAATACAGTACCATACAATACAATATAACATGTTACGGCACTCCCCCGCCTTGACTTCCAGGTATGCCTCAATGCCTCGGGACATCATTGGAATGAAAGCTGAATAGACTCAGCCTGTGCAATCAAGGTGTCATCAAGTCTAAACCCTAAACCCTAAACCCTAAACCCTTGTGGGCACCTTTGCCACCTCCGAAGAGACGAAGCTCACCCGCGAAGCCCTGGCGCGATCCAAGGGCTTAAAAGGCTCCGGGGCCCACCTTCTACTGAAGCACACCTGGGTCAACTCCTGGGGCGACACAATGATCCCAATGTGTCCAAAAAAAGGATGCCCACTGTAGGGATAGGGCGGCTAGGGCTGTACTCTACTTGAAGTAGGGAGTCTTTCCGGCTCCAGCGCAGCTGCACTGTACGGAAAGGACTCGACTTTGACTCTTCTTGTTGGCCTCGTGTCCCTGGAGGCCTCTGCGAAAGGTTGTCGTAAAGTTTCTGTAGGGGCCTCTTGGGCTTGTGGATGATGCAGTCTCCCACTCCTGCTGCCCCCCCCCTTTCCCACCATTGAAAGGTGGTTTGGGTTCTGGGTTTTGGGAGTTGGTGCGGAGCTCTATGCACTCTGGGGCTTGGCATGGACTTAGGTACCCTTTGCTTTGCGAGCCCGTCAGGCGAAAGCTCAAAGTGCAGAACTCGTGCCTGTGGACAAAAGCGGTGGCTTTCCAAAACGGTGGATCCGAGGTAGTCATCCTCCTGAACGAGTTCTGCCGGCTGCAGCTTCGAGCAAACCATGTAGAAGATGCCACGGCAGCAGCTACATGAAGAGCTGCTCTGGACCCCATGCAGCCCAACCTTCCGACCTTGCTTTCCGACTGCTAGTGGTTCCCTTTTGGATCACAGCAGCAGGCCGACCGAAGATCCGGGAGAGTACCCGCTGTGTCCTTGATGATCCGCCAGTCTTGGTCGAAGAGCTGGAAGCGCAGGTGCTCTCCGGCCTGGTAGTCCGCCAGCACGAAGGCCTGCGACTCCAAACGGAAATACGAGCAGAGATAGCAGAGATCGTCGTCCGACGTGCACGACAGCCTCGTCCCACACAGGATTTGTGGTGTCCTGTCATACTTGCTGGTTGTCCAAGGCTCACGATGAATGCAGTACTGGAGAAAACCATGCTTTCGGAATCGCTAAATGCCTTGAAGGCACTGCTCTTGTCGTAAGTGTGCTGAGCAGTTACGCAGCTCTGCTTATCATTTGATATGAGGATGCAGGTTGCCTGGATGACACGCGTGACCACCCCAGTGCCAGGCTTTCCAAGCACCACACCTTTGAAACCGGCAGCCATGGAAACAGGACAACATCAGAGACTGAAAACCTTGAAGCACGAGGACGGTCTGAAGCCCTTTAGCCGCTTTAGCCGTTTCCGGAGCTGCATTTTGTGCCTCAATCGGGTGATGGAAATATGGCTTGGTAATCCTAGCTTCTGCAGAGCATCATCGGCGGATGAGGCAGATGCTAGTCTTACCGTTTCTTGTGGTCCTTATGGTACAGTCGGCCGAGTAGGGTTCACGCTTGGGCGTTTTCTCCTCGCCTATGCGACTGAATTCAGTGCTCCTGGCGGAAACATGGCTTGACAACCAGAAATCCAAGAGAAGCACGGAAGCCTACGGAAGCACCACGAAGATGGGGCACAAGCCCAAAGAGACAAACAAGGCGTGGAGGCCGCTGCCAAGAAGCCACAAAGCCCCAGAAAGCCAGCGCGAGAGCCAGGCCCAGAAGCCACAGAGGCCCTTGAAAAGCTTAGACCCCAAGCAGAATGTACCGAAAAATACCCACGTGCCAAAATTTGTGTGCCAGAAGCCATACAAGCTTGTAATAATTGCAAGAGACGTGTTGGCTGTCGCACGGGAAAAACTCAACCGTACTCTTCCCGAACCTGGCACGGAGAAAAACAAACTTCTTTCCGCGAGCGAGACGACATGCAGAGTTTGCTTTCGAGACAAGACACACCTCACACACCTGCTGAGATCTGCGTGCCAGAAGCCCATACAAGCTTGATGATCTTCTTCCGCAGGTGAGATGACATTGAAAGTTTGCTTGCGACGCAAATCTCGGCACCGGGGCTTTTTGTTTTGCAAACAATTCCAGGGACAAAGACTTGTTTTTCTCCGTGCTGGTTTCGGGGCGCAGCAGGTAAACTTCCCGTTGTTTCCCGTGCAAACGGATGACACGTCTTTTGTATCCCAAGCTTGTATGGGTTCTAGCGCACAAATCTAGGCACGTGGGTATCTTGTCTCGCGAGCAAACTCTCAATGTCAGAAGCCTGTTCGTCTCCAGATTCGGGGCAGGCATGATGATTTTCCCTTCTTGTCCGTGCAGCAGGCAACATGTCTTTTGTATCTGAAGCATCTACGTGCTGGCGCACAAGTCTCGGCACGTGGGTATCTTGTCTGCTGTGCTTGCCTCGAACCTAGAACAGAAAAAACAAGCTTTTCTCCGCGCATGAGACGACGTTGAGAGATTTGTTGGCAAAACAAGCTACAAGTAGAAGAAAAAACAATGCCTCAGAATCACCCAGGCAATAGTGGCCACCAAAAAACGCTCCACAGTCTCTGTCAAGTCAAAAAAACGATCCGGCCATGCGAACTCGGAAGTCAGCTTCGAAGCAATACTTGGTTCCTGGCACTTGCAGTACACGTCGGACTTGCCTGGTTCACAGCTTGGCGCGGCCACGGTCGTTAGGATGGGAGGTCGTAAAACGATTCACAGCCAAATCCCCGTCGGGCCCTTCCTGTGAGTGGGACGAGGTCCGCATTGCGCAGGCCCCTCGCCTTGATGATCCGCACCTGGCAATGTCTGGCCTCTCATGCCTCTCACATTCTGTCAAGCTGCTATCAAGCATTTGCTGTCTCTTAACCCCTCCCCCAGAGGCTCCTCGATGGACTCGACGCCAGGCTGCGCGTGCGTGTCCCGAGGCGCTGGCGCAAAGAGGGGAACAGGAAGGGCCCGTTGCGGTATTGTATGCACGGCTAGGCTGAGCATGGCCGAGCAAACTGAAGGAAGCCTTTAGTGGGATCCAGGAGGCACTCCAACTTGTCAGACACCGTCTTGACACACCTCAAAATCTGCTGGCTTGAGGGGTTGTGCTC